AACTTGATTTTGCATCTAATAACCACAGCTAGACTCTTCTTGGCGCAATACTGGAAGAAGGAAGATTTGCCTACTATTCAAGAATGAACGTTGAAAGTCACAAACCTAGCAGAGATGGCTAAAATATCTGCATATCTCAAGGACCACTCAAACGAGAGATATAAACTGGAGTGAAGAAGATGGATTGACTATATTCAAAATAAATACGGGACTAAGAAATTTCAGATAGCTTATGATTAAAGAAACTAAGAATGATACAATCTGTTTAGAGAGCAAGGAGGAGTTAAAGCTCAAGTGAAATATGTTATTAACTTTTTTTCTTTTTAAGCTTATTTAGGCATGTTTTTGTTAAAGATTTATACCTTGTATTGGTTCTGGGAAGTCGGGGGGGGGGAAGGTTGAGGAGGGTTTGGGGGCGGAGGGAAGCAAATATTTGTAAAAGCTTGTTTTTTAAATTTTTCAATTAAAAAAAAGAAAGTGAGGAGTAAAAAAGAACGTTAAGACTCCGAAAGAGGAACAAATGCCAAAAATAAGCTTTTTTTTCAACATAGGAGCACCAAGAGGAAAGTCAATGAAATGATTGGCCCACCCTTAGTGGGTGAAGATGACAGGTGACAAGAAGAAAGAAGAACTACTTAATTTCGGACTTTACATCTGTTTTTACACAAAGGGGGGGGGGAAATAAGCAGTCCAACCTATCAAAAGCATCACCGTGGGAGACAGAAAGAAACAGGGGAGGATTTAGTGAGAGAGAGAGAGAGAGCGGCCGTCTGCTTCTGGCAAGGGTTTCCATTTCAGGCTTTTGAAGGAGCCGGCAGATGTGATTTCAGAACCACTGGACCGAATCTCCCAGAGCCCCCGAGGGGGGCAGAAAAGAGCTGATGTGGCCCCAACCTCCAAAAAGGGCAAGGAGGAGATCTAGGAAACCACAGGCCAAAAACAGGCCTGACATCAACACCTGGGAAAACCTGGAAAATGCAATCCAGCACTCAGAAATGAAGGAGGAGGCGAGATTCCTGGGAGCCGGCAGGCGTTTGTTAAAAGCGGCTCATAGGCCAAAGAAGCTTCACTGCTTTCTTTGAAGTGAAGGGACTACATTGGCAGATCAGGCGGATGCTGTGAATATCCTACACTGGGACTCCAGCAGGGCATTTGACAGAGCAGAAGGCAGCCGACTTCTTGGTAAGATGGAGCAACAGGGGACGGATGGCATCACCACCATGGGTGGGTCAGTGGCTGACCAACTGCACTCAGCGCGTGGTTCTCCTAGGAGCTGAGTCTGCATGGAGGGAAGTGCGCAGTGGGGTTTCTGTCTTGGGCCGGTTCTCTTCAACACCTTCATGTTTCAGCTGAGGGGACAGGAGGGGAAACTCATCAGGTTTGCAGGAAACAGTAGGTTGGAGGGGGGGGGGATTGCTAACACTTTGGAAGAGGCTGAAAATTCAGAAGCATCTCCACACAGTCTTGAGCATGGGGCCCAACCCACTGAGAGAAAAGGAAGGGGCTGCACTTAGTAGCAGGAAGAAGAAGATGGCCAGAGAGAGGGCAGGCAATTCCTGGCTCAGCCGCAGGGCCTGGGAGAGAGATCTCGGTGTGTTACCCACTTGAGCTGCAGCTCTCAGAAAAGCCCCAACTGAAAGGCCCAAATGCCCACGGAGCCAGAGGGCTGCAGCAGGACGAGACCCCCCTGCGCCTGGCTCCAAAGCCTCAGGTGCCCCCTAAGCTGCCCCTGGGCCCTCCTGCCTGCATCCAGGCTTTGGAGGAAGGTGCGGGGCCCATTTCGAGACAAATGGTCAAAGAATAACAGCCTCCCCATTTTCTACAATAAAATGTATTTCAGTTCTAAAAGCTTTACAATTTCATAAAAGTCCTACAATCCCAGGTTTCAAATAAGTGCCAGCAGCGACTCCTTAACGTTGCAGTGAAGCACACAGATCCTAAGAGGCACTTGGAAAACGGGGCGGCAGCCGTCGGCCGGGGCAGAAGGAAACGGTCGCCCCTGCTGGGAAACTGGCTCCATCCCGGCTCTTTTGTGCCAAAGGGAGGCAGGGCCCTCCAGAGGTGCGGCAAGCTGAGCCACGCTGCTCCGGAGGCCGAAGCCGGGGTGCCCCACAATGCACATGGAGGTGCCGAAGGAGGCTCAGAAGTCACAGGGCGGCCTCTCGCAAGGAAGGCGTTCTGCGCTGCTGGCCCCAGACCAGCCCGCCTGCTGCTCAGCTGACTTCGGGCTTGGCTGGACCTGGAAAGGGAGAGATGCACGTTCGAACGCAATTCCCGCCCCCCCCCAACTCAGCCCAGAAAGAAGGCAAAGATGGAAGGTGCCCCCACAGGGTTCGGGTGGGGGGGGGGGCTCCCCCTGTCATGGGGCTGAGAACTCTTGCAGAGTTAATCCAGGCCAGACCCTGAAGATGGTGGTGGGGAGCTGGGTTAGTTCTGTCTCTCGAGAGGAGCTTCTGGACATACCCCCCCCCCCAGCACAAGAGCCGTTTGCCGTGACGGGGGTCTTCCGGCACCCCAGAGACAGCCCCCACCAACTCCCTTCAGGAGCAGCAGGGGGGAGGAGGCGGAAGGAGCAGGCCTCACCTGGACCGGCTGGCTAAGGCCCACAAGGGACCGCAGCGCGTTGCTGTAGTACCCCAGGAGGAATTCTCCGCCCGCGTTGGGGAGGCCCTCGGCCCCGAGATAAACCTGCAAGCAAGGAAGGCGCCATCAGCTTCCAGCGGGAGCAGAAGAGCAGCCGAGCAGAGGGAGGTCCCGGGAGCCGCCCTTCACCTGCTTGGCCCCGTCCTCGGCGGAAATCTCATTGTCCTGCACCCAGACGTAGGTGACGTAGTCGTTCACATGTCGGAAGGACACCTGCCAGGGGAGAGGAAGAGCTGCAGGGGGGGCCCACAGGCCCACCTGCCAGCACAGGGGAGGGGCTCCCAGTGGGAGGGAACGCACGTCCCTTCAGGAGGCTGAGTGAAAAGCCCCACAAGGGACCCTTCTCCCCATCATCGGGAAGGGGGTCTTTCCCGGCAGCCGGCTTGCTCCCCTCCTTGCAAGACCACGGTGTGTGTGTGTGTGTGTGTGTGTGTGTGTGTGTGTGTTGCAGCCCCTGCGGAGGCGGCTGGGAGAACAGCCTCTACTTGGCCTCAGAAGAGCCCTGGTGCCTGGGCAGCAGAGCAGGGCCTGAGCACCAGCCCAAGCACCCTCCCCTCTGCCCCCCTTGTGCCAATTACCCTGTAGAGGCCAATCCAGTCCCAGGGGCTGCTGGCAAATTCTGGAGCGGTGACGTAGCTGACGGTGGCGTCCTGCCCAGCACTCCAGGTGCCCACCGGGCAGAGCACCACCAGGGGCTCCTCCTGCAGGGGCTGCACCTGCGGGAACAAAGCCGCCCAACCCAGGGTGAGAAAGGCCAGGGAGCACCCCCACCCCGGACCCCAACCGGGCTCTGTTCCTTCTCCCGAGGGGCAGCCAACCCCTTGGCACCCAGCCTGCTACAGGGTCACAAAGGCCCTGCTGTCGGGCTAAGAGGCCCACCCTGGGAGTTAACCTGAGTTTCAGCCTCCTAACAGGCTTCAGCATGGTTGGGGGGCTACAGTTCCTCTCTCCGCCCGGAGGCTCATCCAGAGGACACCAGCCCTCCTTACCTCCCCTCCCGTTCCACAGGGGAGCCGGGCCTGGGGATTGCACTGACTCTGCTAAGACCGAGTTTTAGTGTCCGGGGGGGGGGGGGTGTCTGTTGAAGGGGGCTGCTTCTTGATAAAGGATCTCCGTAAGGAAGGATCTCCATAGACAGGAATGTTGCCAACCACCCACCGAGGCCCTGGGGGACATAGCTGCGGGGGGGTGGGGGGGTGGATTGACAGGCAGCCCTGGGGCCATCGTCAGGGCTTGCCCTCACGCAGGGTGGTCTGTGCCCAGGCAAGGCTGGCTTGTTCAATTCAACCTGGTTAAGCCACAGCTTGGCCTGAAGTGCGCATGGAGCCAGCTGGATGCTGTTCCTAGCCGGAGGCTTCAACAGGTGCCCCTCGGAGACCCTGCAGCAGCCCCAGAACCGGTGGCATCGGCCGGGTGAAGGGCAGGACGTCCTGCTTCCCTTTGGAAGCCGGTGGGGGGAAGAGGGGGCTGCCTCGGGATGCCAGGCTCCTGCAGTGGGTGCCAAGGGGGCAGACCGGTGGGCGGAATCCCCATCTCTCCAGAGAGGAGCAGCTGCCCTTGGGGAGCCAGGATACTACCTTCAGCTCAAAGGTGCCAGTGACCGGCTTGTGGTCACTGATGTCGTAGTCCATGTGGCTGGTGTAGCTGCCCAGGGACAGGGAAACCCCTCCCTCCCTGGGCACCTCCTTCGGCTTGGAGCACGGAAGACATTTCACTCTCCACAGGATCCGATCGGTCCAGGCGGGCTTCCGTTTCTTCTCACTGCAGAAACAAAGGGGGGGAGGGAGGGAGGGAGGGAGGGAGGGAGGGAAGGAGAGTGGTGGCAAGGATAGAGCCCAGCTGGCTCCCCAGGGCAGCCCAAGCGGCCATGCACCCCCCCACCCCGAGCAGAAGGAGGTAAGTGGGCTGGGGGCCTCCAGCCACTTTGCCTCCAGAGCTGCACTCAGCGACTAAACCTGGGCACTATCCGAAGCCCCCCCACCCACCCCAGGGCAAGAGTGCTGCTGGTGCATAAAAAGCCCCCTCCTCCCCCAACAGCTCACAAGCACTTTGGCCAGAGTCGTGGCAATTCTGGATCCAGAAAAGGATCCTTCCTTCTGAAGGAAGCTGCTGCGTTTTCCCAGCCGGTCAGGGCTCAGGTGGCGGAGCGCCTGGTTGAGCACCTGGGGCTGGATGTGCAGCCGTGCGAGAGCATGCGTGACAGACACCCGCATTAACTTCTCAGCTGCTGCTGCTGCTGCTGCTACTTTAAACGCTTTCTGGCTCCCGCTTTTTGCAGTTGCTGTGGGTTCCGCTGTCCCTGCAGCCCAGAGAGAGCGAGGGGAGGGCCGCTGCTGTCCCCTGTATGCCCCACGCCAGGATCATCCCCCCAGCAACAGCCAGGTCAGAAGAGGGGGCCGGGTGAAAGTCAGCAGACTCAGGCGGCCCAAAGGCCCAAGTTTTCCAAAATCCCCCACATTGCGTGTGGGTTGAGTGTGGGTGTTAGTTAGGCCCAAGCAGCCCCTCCTCGGCTCTGCAAATAGAGAGAAGGGGAGGGGGGCAGCCAACCAAGACACCCCCCCCCACACACACACAGACACACGCGTCCTGCTTCCGCTGGGCCCCTGGGAAGTGATTTCCCTGGCTTCTTTCTCTGCCTAGCCAAGGGCCAGAGAGCAAGAGAGCTCTGAGTCCAGAGCCCCCGCCAGACCCCCGCAGTTACCTGGTGTCGTATTCATCCGAGTGCAGGTCAAACTTGTAGGTGGGTTTGAACTTCAGGGGGCCTTCCGAGAACTCCTGGAGGAAGAACAGCTTCTTCTTGGCCATGTTTAACTGGGGAGGGGAAGCAAGAGCCGTTCGGTGCTGCAGGCCAAGCGCAGGAGCCGCGGCAGGGAGCCAGCCAGCGCCCTCCCTTTCCCAGCACAGGGGGAAAGCCAGGCAGGTAGCGGCCCCCGTCGGAAAAAGAAAGGGGGGGGGGGATGATGACACCAGATGGGGGCTGGCCAGAGAGGGAGAGGAAGTGAAACTAGTAAAGCTCCTCCCCATTCAGAGGCTGGGGGTGGGGG